CTGTCTCTCTCTCTCTCTGTGTGGCTGTGCTGGGGTGTCAGAAACTGACACACAGAGACTTTGGGCCGGTCAGGACTACTGATGACTTGGTTTTGAAGGAAGCGGCAGAGAGAAAAAGCGATATGTATAGAGAGAGAGAAAAGAAAGTCCCATATATCTCCATGCACGTATAAATTAATTGAACATGTACAGGTGCACGAGTGGCCCAGAATCCACACCACTGATCAGGTGCTGCTGCATCTGCACCACCGCCCTATACTGATGCCGACGTGACCTCATATTCATATCATCCCATTTCAACTCAATTTTTTATTCACAATACGTAGTACTCTAGTGTGTCTGTGTATATATATATATATATATATATATTACTTTAATTTTAAAAAACGAAATTAGGGTATTCATTTTTTTAAAAAATTGGCAACCCTGAACCCTGGTCAACTTGGAAATTTTTTCTTGGGATTTACTGATTTAAATGCCATGTGAATATTCATGCTATAAAAAAAAAAAGAAAAAAAAAAGAAGACAATCTTTGTTTGTGTTGGCACCAAAACTTGGCAGCCACTTCAGCAGCGACGTGGACCAATGGGAAGCCGATAAGGGTTGAGCATGTCCAAGAATGGATCGGCCAGTTTGAAGATATTAGGAGCAAATATAGAAAGATATATTTCAGCCAATATGGCACATTTGACTTTTTTTCAAAATGGGATGTTAACAGAAAAGGAAAAGGCTAGAGTTCGGATGAAACTCAATAACTAAATTCCTATAAAATAGGAAGTTTAGTTTGATGAAAAAAGGAAAGCTTTGAAGACATGGCGCTAAAGGATGGGCCACTTGGGATAGAACACGGCTGCTAAACTTAAGGAGGGGAGTTGCTAAAAATTAGCAACTTTTCAGCAACTTTCTAGCAACGTTTTAGCAATATCTCGGCAACTTACATGTGATTAAATCGAGGAAGGTTGTTTTTACAGAGATTTCCTACTGAAACAAAACAAGAAAGGAAGCAGAATAACAATAGGATTTGACTAAGTTCAAATTGTGAAGAAAAAGAATGAAAGAAGGAGAGATTTTCTAGCAATAACTTAGGAAAATAAGTTGAGATAGAACTTCTATAAATAGAAGTATTGTATTCCATTTTTAACTTCCAGCACCACCACAAAACATGCCTTCAATTGATTCTACGTCATTTTTTCCTATCAATTTCTTTATTTCAATTTAATGGCAATTGATTAGATCATTGTCAACTATTTCAATTCAGCCATTTACTTTCCTTCAATTTCAATTATGACAATTTTAATTACGCAATTTTAGTTAGGCTTTCAATTCAATGGCAATTGATTAAATTCTTGCCATTGAATCGTAGTGACAATTGATTAAATTCTTGTCATTACTTGGCTGATGGCAATTGATTAAATTCTTGCTATCACATTTCAGTGGCGATCGATTAAATTCTTGCCATTGTGTTTGGCTGATGGCGATTGATTAAGTTCTCGCCATCACGTTCGGCCGGCGATCGATTAAGTTCTTGCCGCCTGTCTTCACTCGGCCATTCCATCCATTCAAACATTCATCAGCCATTGCATTTCTTTAGATACTCTAAAAAGTCCTTACTACAAACAAGGCATAAAAGAACCTTGCTGGGAGTTCTTACTAGTCTCTCTCCCACATAATCGCCTGAGAGTCAGCCATCGGAAAAAGGGATAGGCTGGTGTTCAATTACATATTTTGGGTATTTTGTACAAATACTCTGGCACGCCCGCGAAGAGTCCATCGACCGGCGTAGGGAACAAAAATCGCGCGAACAGTTTGTTCATCAAATTTTTTAAAAAAAGAATTGAAAAAAGGAGGATAATGTATAGAGTATGTCCAACTAAATATGCAACTTGAACAACCAAATTAATCAAATCAAATTTGAATTCAATCCAGTACGTATTTGGACAGGTTTTGGCCGTTCTTTATTCGGCTGGGCTTGAATAGAAATGCGGAGTCCAAATCAAATTTGACGTTTTTAATCACTATTAATATTAAAATATTATTAATATCAAATTTAAAGGGCTCACTGTATAATCTAGAAAGAGTCAAATGTGAGAAATCAAATCTATGCACGGTGAGGATATTTTCAATTTCCAACTCGCGATTTTCAAATTACAATAGAGTAATTTTCTTCCTTGTCATTAACCTCTAAAAAAAACTAACTTAACCTTATCAATCCAACCCTTATTAAAACATTATTCGTGATGTCCAAAGAAATTCGAATAAGTTTAACTCAAAACTATCATTTTCTTTCAAAAATTTAATTTTTATACATTAAAAAAGGTTAGTGGCTTAAAAAATATTTTGATTGAGGTATTTTTATTTAAAGATTCAATCTTTACTTATTAAAACACTATTCGCGACTTCATAAGAAACGAGCCTAATCTAAGTTAAGAAAAATTTAATTTTTATACATTAAAAAAGTTTAGTGACTTAAAAAGTATTTTGATTGAGGTATTTTTATTCAAAAATTTAATCTTTACTTATTAAAACACTATTCGCAACTTCGTAAGAAACGAGCCTAATCTAAGTTAAGAAAAATAACACAAAGTTAGATTTGGTTAGACTTATTTGGCTGTAAAACAGTTTGTACTCTTGTTTGGAGTGAGGATTTATTCTTCAATTTAGCTTGAATTAATTTCACCATCCTATCCAACCACAGATTGAGTACATCCTTCGCTAAATGTGCATTTAGGTCTGTGAAATATCAACCACCTTTACCAGATAGAGTACCAAGTCATGCTCAGTGAAAATGCCATGACAGTGTATTATAAGAGTAATTATAACAAATAAATGGGTAAGCATCCATCTTACGTGAAAATTTTACTTCAATTACGTAGAGCGGTAGTAAGATGACTTATGTGCCAACTTTTTTATTATAATCACAAAAGATTCAAATTCTACCTTATGTAAAATTGTCAAAATATGATTAACCTCTAAATCTCTAAATTTGAAAATACCAAAAAAATACCTCACTAAACTTCTAATTCTAACATATTCTATCAACATCTTTGAATTCGGCCTTGGTCCAATGATCTCAAATTCAACGATTTTGGGCCGGATTTCGCTATTGAACTCCTCCAATAGCATCCCCAAAAATTAGGCCCCACCCAATGGGTCGTGGAATGGGTCGCTGAAAACCGTGACCCTCTTGGCGAGCCGCTGGCCTACCATGCGGGCTGCATCAGTTTTGTTTACATTTTTTTATTTTGGCCCAGAACAGTGTATTAGCCCAGAACACTAGGGCATATTTGCCTGAAAAAAAAAAAAAAAAAACTAATTTTTTGCTTCTTTTGGTCTCTTTTTTTTTTCCGCTCAAAATAATTGAACCAAAGAAACGTTAAGGCACTGTTTGGCTAATGCCTTAAAGGTTTTTTTGGGCAAAAAATGTTAAAAAAAAAAAAAAAAAGAAGAAGAAGAAGAGAGAGAGAGAAAGAAGAGAAAAATGTTTTTTTTTAAAAAAATTTACTTTTTAAAATATTCCTACTAACATATAGTCATTTTAGGCACTGTTTGGGTTAACGGCTATATTGGAACAAAAACCTATTTTATTAATTTTTTTTAAAAAATAATTATATATATATATATTAAAAAAAAAAACTTTCATTTTTTCTCTATAAATACATCAACCCGACTATGATATAACCGTTATGAAAAAGTTAAAAAAATTTTGGAGAGCGAAAATGCACCATTAAAATACATCCGATAACTAAAATTTGAAGACTCTAAAACGCTGATGTGACTATAAAAAATGCTAAGGTGACTATTAAAAAATACTGATGTGACAAATTTAGAAAACCTAAATTCGGAGAGCCCATTGAAAATTCTCTAATGACTGAAAATTTTCTCAAAATTGATCGAGAAACTCACACTTAAGGAGAGCAAAATTATCTTAAATTATCCAAATATATGTAAATTAAGGAGAGCTAACATATATATACATATATATTCTGTTGATGCATAGTTAAATCTGCTAAAGAGAAGGAAATTTAATAAACTGAAAAGGACATAAATGTACTGAAGTTGTATTAAATGCAAAGGTGGTATATATGTGGTACAATGTACAGAGTGTCGGGGATTGCTTGTAGTCACATGGGCAGCTAAGTGATAATTTTGTTGTGTCCACCATTTCTGCGTGGCAGTAGTACCAAGACAATTCTTCAATTATTGACTTTTATTTTATTTTGTATGTGCATTTTAATTTTGCCATCATATTATCTATTCTGGTCACTCCTAACACCACAATTAACAGAGGTCCACCTTTCTCTCCATTGATTGAATCACAAATTGAATAAGCTGAAGTTCGAATTGCTGAACTTGCAATTAAGGTTTGATTACAATAAAATTTAATTTGATTTTAGATAATCTATATTTGATGGGATTTAGATTTGAACATAATTAATTTGAGTACCATTTTCAGAACTATGACATATTTCATATTACATAGCATTTTGTGTCACCATCATACGTCTGAATATGGTCAATAATTGTCAAACCATGACTATTCATGATGCCCATCTTTGCAAATGGGCTTCATATTTCTTTTGTCGACACATGCGTACGGCGTATCTACAGTATTATTCTTAAGTGCTCCAACTCGTAATTTTCTCTTAAATTGAGAGCAACATGTGATCATCATCACTTTATTAGTGAGTTTGTTAAACTTTTTTAATTCTAAGAAAAGAAATTGAAGAGAGTGATTCTTAATATAACAGGAAAATTATTCGATTATAATCTCCAGACCACAGGGTATAAAATGGAAAACACCTCCCATTCGAAAGTAACCCTAAACCTAGAAATAATAATAATAATAATAGAATTTGGCAGGCCATACATAAAAATTAAGAGTCAAACGCATGATATAGATGGCCAAATACATACATATACATCATCTTTATATCTACATACATATAGAGAGAGAGAGAGCTGTTGATAGAAGTTCAAACAGACAGGGGTCCATGGTCGTCTACTTAAATTCAAAGCTTTTTCGTGGAAGACATGATCCGGGTCTGCCGCACCTTTCATCGCTGCCCCCCTTTTCTCATACTATTCTCAGTCTCTCTCTAAAAAGCATCCTTCATCATCTCTGAGGAAATAACAAATTAATCCATGGAAATGGAGGAACAGTATGGAATGGCGGATCTGAGGCAGTTCATGAACGGGAGGCCCCATTTTCCGGTAACCCTACAAGCGGGAGACCACCTCTTCTCCGGTGAACGGAATCTGACACAAGCAGCAGCAGCAGCCACCCAGCAGCACTACGAGATGGTGAGGGTGGCAGCCGCTGCTGGTCAGGTTAGTGATCACATGGTATCTCTTGGGCTTCATCATGATCAGTTTGGTTCATCATGTGATTATAATAATCCTACTCCTACAACTACAACTACTACTACTAGTAGTCTTACGGCTACGTGCACTGCAAGTTTGAATGGGTTAGAGATGGAATGTGGTGGTAATGGAAGGTGGCCGAGGCAAGAGACTCTCACTCTTCTTGAGATCAGATCCAGACTTGATCCCAAGTTCAAGGAGGCTAATCATCAGAAGGGTCCTCTCTGGGATGAAATCTCTAGGTATATATATGCATATATATATATATATCCTAATTTGGCTTCAGTTCCTAGAAGATTTAAGTAATACCCATTAATTTGGCTTAATTTGTGTTAGGAAATTATCAGTTGTCAGTGGGTTTTCTTGCTGATTTTCTGGAATGTACTTGAGCCCAATTTGATGGTTGTTTTTACTGGTTTTGTGCTAGAAAAATGACACAACTTTGAAGTTCACTGGAATACTCTGGTCTCAAATTTTTCTCTACTTCCATCTTTTTGGTTTTGTGCTAGATAAATCTTTGATATATAAATTGTATAGTTACACTGCATGACTTGGTTTTAATTTATTTGAAAAATGAGTATCCAAAATATTTTAAGCAAGCTTCAAATTCTTATTGGCTAGCTAAAAGACATGGCTGTCTATTTGCATGCTTAAGTACTCATTTACTAGTTTCATGTAATTAAAGAACATAAACAACCATTCAAGAAAATTCGTGAGAACGATTATATACTAGTAGTACTAGCAAAGATCATTATCATATGAACTTTTTTGGCTTATACACATGACAAAAATTATCTTCATTTTTTAGCTCAAACTAGGATATTTTTTGTATTAATTCTCTTATTCTTTTTCTTTTTTTTTAAATCATTTTATTTCTACTTACAGGATGATGTCCGAGGAACATGGGTATCAGAGGAGTGGGAAGAAATGCAGAGAGAAGTTTGAGAACTTATACAAGTATTACAAGAAGACTAAGGAAGGGAAGGTTGGGAGACAAGATGGTAAGCACTACAGATTCTTCCGGCAGCTCGAAGCGCTCTACGGCAAAACCAGCAATCCAGCAGCCTCAGAAACCACCCATCTTGCTGGAAACAGTTTTCAATTTCATAATGGAAGCAACAACAATTCTACACAATGTAATAATCAAGAAGCCTATCAAGCTCCAAAGCTCTCAACTGAAAGCCTCAGCCTCTGTAGCTCTTCTGATTTCGACTCTTCTTCCTCTGATGATGACAATGATTCGGCGGGGAAGAGGAAGAAGAGAAATCAAGTAAGAAGGAGCTGGAAGGCGAAGATAAAGGATTTCATCGACGGGCAGATGAGGAAGCTGTTGGAGAAACAAGAGGCATGGTTGGAGAAACTAACGGAGACGCTTGAACACAGTGAACAAGAGAGGATGTCAAGAGAGGAGGAATGGAGGAAACAAGAGGCAGCTAGGGTTGAAAGAGAGTATAAGTTTTGGGCTAATGAGCGAGCGTGGATCGAAGCTCGTGACACAGCTTTAATGGAGGCCTTACAAAAAATCACGGGGAAGGAAGTGAAGGCAATTTCATCTCTAGAGGAGCTTCGAAGTCTTGGCGAAAACCAGAAAGAGATTGGGAGTGAAACAAGTAGTTTGATCAATTTGAAAGGTGAGAGCTGGCCGGAATGTGAAGTCACAAGGCTAATACAATTGAGAACCAGTATGGAATCAAGGTTTCGGAATTGTGGGTGTGACGAAGAGGTCCTGTGGGAGGAAATAGCAGGGAAGATGGGTTGTTTGGGATATGATCATAGGAATGCATTGATGTGCAAAGACAAGTGGAATAGTATCAACAACTATCTATGCAAAACGAAGGAAAGCAATAAGAAACGGAAAGAGGATTCAAGAAGCTGTTTCAACTTTCAGAACAATGAACCAGTAGACAATATTCAAGGAGGTGGCTACTCGGAGATTGCGAGACTTGCAGCGAATGCCGGTGGTTTGTCTCCGAATTCGAGTGGCAGCAATGGCATGCATGATAATAGCTGCTTTAGGTTCTTGATGGGTGATGGTGGGAACTTATGGGAGAATTATGGTGTGAAGCTCAGTAAGGGTGAGAATTAACCAACCACACTAAGTTAATTTGTTCAGTAGTTCTGATGATCAGGAGTTGGAAAGGAGAGGTGATTGACTTAATTTGTTGGGAGTTAAGAGATTTGACAGTGCTAGCTTCTGGTAATAAGAAATGGGACTAGTGTGTTTGTTTATGCAAGTAGCTAATTAACTGAAGATTTATATGAGCATATTGATGTTTGGTGAATAATTCCTAGGAGGTGGTCAATTAAGATTAAATGAAATGGGTGTTTGTTGCTGTGTTTAATGGGAAATGGTGGCAGTAGTATTCATTGCTCTTCAATGCGATTTTCATCCCATTAATTCGTTAATGAATATCCTATTTTCTTGATCTCCTCTATCCGTTTTTGTTTGGTATCTTTTTGGTTGTTTGTTATTCGATATATTCTATTTTATTTGTTGTGAATGAGATGCCTAGGTTCGGCAGTTAAGGGTGGAAATCTCATGCACTAGACTAATCATTTAGTCCTCCTTATAGGAGAAATATTAGCGATGATATATACATCCACTAAAACAACATCTCACATGGCTCATTACTTCTGCCCTGACATCAAAATGTACAAGACAATGACTGTTACTACATGTTATCAGATGTTCCCCTCTCCCTTTTCTTTTTTCTAAATCTACGGCTACGACATTGGTAATCCATTAAGAAATGTCCGTGCCAAACTCAAACTCAAACCCAACACCATTTTTCAAGGGCTGCGACATTCCTAACCTCATTGGAGGAATGTCCATCAAATGTTCCCCATTCAACGAGTGCTACAATTTGCAAATGACTATACCATACAACAACAATTTCAATGTCTTCTTCATTTTATTTTATTATTATTTTTTTTTTTTCACCTATGTATGATACTACAGCTGAGTTGAATTTGGCTACTGATAAGTCTGTAATGTAGGGTGAGAAGGGGTTTGTTGATGGAGACGTGCAATTTAATTTACACGACAAGGAGGGGATGAGGAAAATTGAGGGTTTTTATGCTATTGTACCTGCACTGTCTCTTACAAATTCTAAACATAGTATTACTTATTTATTATAACATGACAAAAGAAAGATTAAATGAATTTGTCGGAACTAACAAGTGAATTAATGCATTTACGGTTCTCTTGTATCTACCTCAACCGTCCCTATCAGCACGTTCATTTACTCATCCTTTATTCCAAAGAATGCGAGGTATATTACCCGAAAAGTATTAATTTAAGGGGCTGCATAAATAGGATTGAGGTGGGAAATGGAACCCATCTCATACCTGGCTGAATGTAGTCCAATAAACCCCAATAATGTTGTCGTCTTAGCACCACACCAGACGTTCATATCCGGCGGATGGGGGAAGGACTTAGGCATATACGGGCACCTGAAACAAAGGCAGAGCTAGGGGTGCACAAAAATTCTGTCAAATTGAAAATTCAAATCGGATCAAATTGAATCTGACAATTTGGTTTGGTTTGCTAACAATTTAGGTCGGTCACAGTTTGAAATCCTTAAATTATATATAATATAATCATACAATTCAAATCACTTAAAAGTTTGTAACAATTATTAATCATACGGTCCTAATGTACAGTGACTGAATGTTTGTTGTTCTGAATGTATTAGGTTTTTAACAATTTTAAATGTATTCACTTTAGTTCCAAAAGTGATGCTGGATGTGTTAGTCAAATTAGTTTATTGTGTGCATTTGCTATTTTAAAATATGAATACTTTTACAGCAGGTGATAAATAATAATAAAATGGAATCGTGAAACTAAATCGAATCAAACCGGTTTCTCACGGCTTGGTTTGATTTGGTTCCTTTAGTCAAATGATTCGGTTTAGTTCAAGATTTTCTGAAACCGTTAGAATCGATTAGGCTTGTCCCACTTCCAAGATAGGCATATAGGCATATATGAGTGAGATATTAATATTCAATTTATAACCTCGAAAGCTCCCAACTTGAAGTATCCTCTTCCTTAACAGAGCTACATGAATTCCATAGGCAAAATGTGTAGAGACTGTAAACTCAGTTCAAAATCTCAATGGGAACAGAAACGCCATTCGTTCTAGAGTATGGAACCCACCGTAAAAATAAATGAATATTTTTCGGAAATGCTCAAAGGTAACATTAATATTTTCTAGAAATAACAAAAACATAAAATGTTCCTCAAACTTTAGTCAACCACAAGTCTCAACCACAAGTCTACAAACTCCTATGCCTGATAGTAAACACACATTGTAGCCATACCGCAATATACTAGCAAAAACCTAAATCACTAACAAGCAAAACCTTAACTTGATTAGTACTTGTAGTCCTTCACGTGGAGGCTCTCTGATGCACCCTCGCTCAGGGCACCGCCACCCTGGTAAGTTCCAAGGGTTGCCTCCGAGTTGGCCTTGCACCTGGCCAGGAATACAGCCTGAGCCTTCTTCACATTTTCCTCCTTTCCTGCCCAAGCTTTAAGGGTGCTCTGCTGAAGAGCACGTCCAAAGGAGAAGGTTAGAGTCCAGGGCTTCTTCGTCTTGAGTTTGTTCATGGCGTTAAGATTGAGAGTAGCCTCTTCCTCACTCTGACCACCAGACAAAAACACAATAGCAGGAACTGCAGGAGGCACGGTCCTCTGCAGGGCCCGAACTGTGTGCTCAGCCACAACCTCTGGTGCAACCTTGGGAGCATCCGATCCAGGAGTCACCATGTTGGGCTTCAACAGAGTTCCTTCGAGTAGCACATGGTGGTCGTTGAGTGCCTTGTAGACTGCAGCAAGAACACGTTCTGTGACATCAGCACACTTGTCAATGCTGTGGGAGCCATCAACCAAGATCTCAGGCTCAACAATGGGGACCAGGCCATTCTCCTGGCAGATGATGGCATAACGGGCTAACCCATTGGCATTTTCATTGATAGCAAGCTGAGATGGCTCAGTGAGGCCAATTTTAAGCACAGCACGCCATTTGGCAAACCTAGCACCAGCTGCATAGTACTGCTGGCATCGCTGGGCAAGGCCATCTAGACCCTGGGTGGTGGTCTCACCATTAGTGCCTGCAAGCTCAACAGTACCCTTGTCAACCTTGATACCGGGGAGGACACCACCTTCCTTTAGTACCTCAACAAAGGGCTTGCCTGCATCAAAATAAAACCATGATCGAATCGTTGTCAGGTGGATAAATACCTAGCAGCAAAATCGAGAGAAAAAGAAAAAAAAAAATAGCACATAAAAGAAAAAATTATTTTTACCAATCTAGACAAGAAAAAATTTAAAAAGGCAATTCAATATCTTTTACACTTTTACTAATTTGCACCAAGTCACAGGTTATATACCCGTAAGGTACAAAACCGTAGTTTTGTAGTGTAAGCCTTCTTCATAAACTAATAACAATTTTATTACAATATATACCTGCAGCAGTCTTCTGATAGAGGGTTTCCTCAAAGAGAATCACTCCACTGAGGTATTGAAGAGCCCCAGGAGTGCAGAAGAGGAGCTCACGAAGTGCCTGCCTGTTTGCCTCGACATTCTCAACATTGATGCTGGATAAGCGTTTGCCAATTGTTCCAGTTGACTCATCAGCAGCAAGAATACCTTTCCCAGGGGTACCAATGTAAGCAGCATTGGCAATGAGCTCATCTGCAAAGAATATGTCGTTTACAAGGTAATTAGGTTTTGATAAATATCCAAAAAAAAATGAATTTGCAGGAAAAGAAATAATCACTCACTACTACATGAATACACCGGACCAAATAGAAGTAGAAAGTCCAATCAACAATACATCCATCATGTCTTGTGTGCATAAGGCATCTAGTGTGCATAAGGTGTAGGACTTATCAAAAAAATATTCGAAATTAAGTACAAATTTGGAAAAAAAAATTCTGAAGGACTTCATTTACAATACATACATTATTAGAGAACAATGTCAACAAAGAAAATTTAATTAAAGACAATTGGTCTTCATCACATAGACTAGGGACAACAATGTGCTAACCAAGATAGTTTATTTCACGAAAGCTGAAGCAAAAACACTAGCTGACATAATAAGCTACAACTAAGAATTTTGTCCTCCTTTGAGAAAATATACTAGCCTCTCATGAACTGTTTTACAAACTACCAAATCTACTTCAATTTTAGAACCATTTAATTGTATATAAAAAAATCAGGTATTAAAATAAGACAAAAGTAGATTAAAAAGTTTAGGATAAGAAGAATAATTATGTAATAACTAATATCCCATAATTTTTACATACAGTAAAAGTTAAAAACCATACAATGTTCAATCTCATTTGTACCACAAAAGTCTTGGAAATTTTCAAAATGCACAAACAGTATAATTTTACAAATTCCAAACAAAGAGACAAACTAATAGTCTGACAATATATTGGCACTCAAATCACTAATCACTAACAAGATAGTCTTATTCCATGCACTTGTTTCTGAAATCGTATAATTCTTTTGCTAACACTGAAAGGTTACTATGAAAAAACACGGACTTGGATACTCTCCTCTAAAGGAGAGGTCTGAACATTCATCAATGGATGAGAAGATAGCACATCACCAACTCAAAGTTGATGATGCACATTAAACTTTGACATGACATGATGCCACTATCTCATTTGTTGAAGAACGCTCAAACCGCACCTTTAGAGGAGAGGATCCAAGTATATAAAGCATAACCATTTTTTTTTTTTTATTTTACTAAAAACAAATACTATTGTAGCACACTTATTATGACATACTGGATTAGAGAAGTGAAGCGTTTCAGATTTGGAGGGCCAAGAACCCAAAATCCAATAGAGCAATATTGTATCTCAATTGTGATGACAAAGCTTATTAGACATTGGGGGCAAGTTCCCCACCACAAATCTTCTATATTTTCATTCTAGCGCCCTCAAATTTTTTATACTTTCAATTCATATGTGGAAATCAATATTATTGAGCAATATTTTTAAATTCTTATATTTATTATGTTCGAAAAACATAATCTTATTATTCTTCAATGTGCCCGTCACTCCTAATGAGTTTGATCAACAGCCACCACAACAGGAAACTTACATATTCAGTTACAGGCAAATTCACCAAATTATGTAGATTTCTTATTTAATTAAGCATATAACTATGGAAAAACCTAAATTAACTGAAGAGTATAAACAAATTTAACTAGTATAACTAATTTACTCGAGGGAAATCGATTAAAAAATTATCTCAAAAAATAGATCACAACAATATTTAAGCACTAGATCACCGGCTTCAATATACCTCATAGTAAAATTGCACATAAAACAAACTTAAATCTTATCATTTAACTTACTGTTACGATATAAGATCTCCAAAACAATATTATATCTGAACCCAAACTAAAAACTAAATATACCAAAGAAAGGAATTCAGATCTGGAAAAATCAAAACAAGGAATAACAAGAGTCACCAAGATGATAAAGATTTAGAACACCCAACAGTGCTTTGTTAACAGAAAATTTATATCAAACGAACAAACAAAATTAATTAACCAAGGAACAGGATACAAGAAAATACAAAGAATGATATATAAGACTTTACCAGAATATTTTCCTTTGTAGCAAGACATGATTAGGTAGCTAGAGACTGATAAGAATAATGCTTGAACACAGAGAGAGAATATTTGAGAGACGGGAGCGATAGAGGAGGGGAGAGGAAGGATTTTATTTTAGAAAGAGAAGCATCCAGAATATCGATCTCTGCTTGTTTTGCACGAAATTGATCTTAGGCGGTTTATTTCCCTTTTACCCTTTTGCCCCTCTCCTATTGGGCCAAAACATTAGTCTTTCCGGCCCACAATGGTTTTAAAGTCCAGTCTTCTTTCTTTCTTCTTTGGTAATGTGCCGAGTCTTAATTGCTTTGCTGCAATTTTTGTCTTTGCTTTACAATTATTTTTGGCATGGTCTTTCGGAGTTGATATTAAAAAAAAAAATTAATTTAAATTAAAACGATTTTTTCTTTAACTTTCAATTCTAAGATACTAAGATAATGTTTTGAATTATCTATTTAAGCAATCTTTCATGTACTATTTTGAACCATCAATTTAAGCAATCTTTCATGTACATTTTTTTTTTTTTTTTAAGATATTCAGCTACAACACACACTTAGAATAGTATTTCTAAAAGGGGCCGAACACTCAACTTCTTTCTAAAGTGGAAGGTTTACACTATCTAAACTAATGTTCATTAACTTTTTTTTGTACGTTTGTAATTGAGATATCAATAATTTTATGTCATTGCAATGGCTTTGTCCAGGGGCGGAGCCAGTGTGTGCCTACCTTACTCCGCTCGCTATAAAATATAGTAATTTTTATTTTAATTAGTATATTTAAAAGAAAATTTCTATAAAATGCCCCCTTAAAATTTTTAATTTCTAAAATTATCTTCTAAATTTTTCTTACTTTTTTCTTTTACTCTTAATATTCCTTTGATTTCCTTAAAAAAAAAGGTTAAATTTTCCTTCTTTACTCAAATTCTTTTCTTCTTTTTTTCCTTTCAAATTTCTCATTTTTCTTTCCTTTTTATTCTTCTTCTTTTTTTTTTCTTTTTTTTTTGCCTCATACTTCTTAACGTTCTTTTTTTTACACTTAAGAATGATGTATATAGTATGTATTTTTTTTTTTATCCTTCTTAATTAAATTATAATTTTTTTTTTTTTTTTGTTTACATTGCGTCCCGAATTAAAATCCTAGCTCTCCCTAGCTTTATCATATATTTTTTCGTTTACAACTTGAACAATATTCTTCAGATCATTGAACTAAATGTCAATGAATATGAAATTTACTTTTTAAATATATTTTACAAATTATTTATAATACTCATAAACTCTCATTAAGTCAGCCAAAGTAGATTGAGCAAATTAAAACTGTCTAAACAGTGGGCCGGTAGGGGAAATAGTTGGGCCCAACACACGGACAGTTGTCAACTGAGGAGGAGGCTACTACTGGTTATTAAAGGTTTAAAATGAAGGGAATTTTAAAAGGCTGACATCAAAACCACATGCTAATGAATTGGTGGGTGCAAGCAAATGCAATGGTCAAAACCAGGGAAAAACCAAAAGAGGCAGGTCGCTGGATTGACATTTGGACTTGTGTTAAACCCTATTGTCAACATCTGTCTTGATTTGTAAGTAATGTTAAAATTGGAAGAGCATAGTCTTGGTTTTTAAATTGGATTAGGATATTTTATGTTATTAAAAAGAAAGTTAGTGGTTGATTTATATATATATATATATATAAAATAAAAATTAAAAAAAAAAAAGGAGGAAAAAGCTAATCGGGTGGAGTGAGTTTAGCTAATTAGATAGATGGACAGGAAGTTGTTAGCAAAGTTATGTGTTAATTTTAATTAATTAAAAATATGATATTTTTTTGCATAAGTAATATAATATATTTTTTACCAATGTTATATTAAAAAAATATATATATTTCATTTCTCGACCCACGTGTGCTTTGGTTAGCATAAACGTAGTTGTACAAGTGTACAACGTATCAAAAGAAAATTGTGCATATCCGTGAATGGGAAGGGCCACCCACCCATTAAAGAAGAAGTTTGAATAAGTTCCTCATTCAAAATTTAAAAGAATCAAAATACTATGTGTAATAAAATATATGTGAGAGTGTATATATATATAGAGAGAGAGAATAATATGTATTATAGAAATGAAAAGTAATGTTCACTGAGATAGAGAGAGAACGAGAGACAGAGAGAGAATGAGTATAACAGATAGAGCGAGATAGACTTTTTTTTTTTTCTATCTCATTTCACTATACATGAAGCCTATTTATAAGCATATACTGAGGCTTCTCATGTAAGCCAACAAAAACAATCTTACTCCATACGCCAACAGGAAAGTCTGATGCCTTTAGGAATTCGTGGACCCCACTTATTGATATACATAACACTCCCCTTTGAGGTCCACAAAACTACACTAAGAATATGCCTTGTTAAAACCTTACTGAGGAAAACCCAGTAGGACAAAACCCTAGTGAAGGAAAAAGAGTACAGTATTCTTGTGTATGGTATTGCATAGATTAAAACTGCCTCATTAAAACCTTGTCAGGAAAACCCAGTGGGACAAAACCTGGACGAAGGAAAAAGAGTACAGCATGCCAATACCTCTTTGATCAACTGCTCCCCCTCATTAGATCAACCCTGAAGATCCTTTAGTTGACGCATTTTAATGTTGTGCACCAGTTTCTTGAATGTTGTAGTTGGAAGTATTTTAGTGAATACATCTGCTAGATTTTCACATGAACGTATCTTCAGAATATCAATATCACCCATTTTCTGGAATTCATGTGCATAAAAGAATTTTGGTGAGATGTGCTTGGTCCTGTCACTTTTAATATACCATTCTTTCATCTGTACAATGCATGCCACATTATCTTCATATAATACTGTTGGGCTATCTTTTATTGATGAGAGATCACATGTTGTTCGAATATGTTGAATCATTGATCTCAACCAAATGAATTCCCTGTTTGCCTCGTGAATTGCGAGTATCTCAGAATGATTTGAAAAAGTTGCAATCATTGTCTGTTTCATTGATCGCCATGATATAGCAGTACCGCCACAGGAAAACACATATCCTGTTTGTGAATAAGCTTTATGTGGATCAGAAAGATAGCCGGCATCTGCATATCCAACTAATGGAGAATTTGGTGCCTTCAGATAAAACAAGCCCATATCAGTTGTGCCACAAAGATATCGCAATATGTGTTTGATTCCATTCCAATGTCTGCGAGTTGGTGCAGAACTGTACCGTGCTAATAAATTGACTGGAAATTTTATATCGGGTCTCGTGCAATCTGCAAGATACAAAAGAGCACCAATCGCACTAAGATAGGGCACTTCAGGACCAAGGAGTTCTTCATCATCCTCTCGAGGACGAAAATGATCTTTCTTGATGTCAAGTGATCGAACAACCATTGGAAAGCTCAATGGATAGGCTTTATCCATATGAAAATGTTTCAGAATCTTTTCTGTATATGTTGATTGATGGATGAGAATACCGCTTAAAAAATATTCAACCTGCAGCCCAAGGTAGAATTTTGTCTTTCCGAGATCTTTCATTTCGAATTCTTTCTTTAAGAGAATAATATGTATTATAGAAATGAAAAGTAATGTTCACTGAGATAGAGAGAGAATGAGTATAACAAATAAAACGAGATAAACTTTTTTCTTTTCTATCTCATTTCATTATACATGAAGCCTATTTATAGGCATATACCGAGGCTTCTCATGTAAGCCAACAAAAACAATCGTACTCCATACGCCAACAGGAAAGTCTGATGCCTTTAGGAATTCGTGGACCCCACTTATTGATATACATAACACTATGCAAATAATCTTTTTCCCTCACATCCTCTATTCTATAATTCGCAAAATTTATTATTACTATAGGTTTACTTTCTATCAATATTACTCCTTATTTTGTTGCAGTTTGAACATATAGAAGGTCAATTGTCTCCCAATCTCTAATATATATGGTCGTACATTTAAACTTAATTTTGGGTAAATGAGGTGTTTTAAGTTACAATCTCTGTATAAAAGCTTATTTAGAGTTGTTGTTAGAATTAAAATAAAATAAAAAATAAAAAATAAAAATCATTTGTCAATAGAGCTATTAAAATTACTGTCTATAAATAAATAAATAAAAATAAAAATATATATATTTAAAATGTTTGGTGACACAGTATAACAAGTATTTATCACAATTAAATTATTTTTAATATTTTTGGTAGCAATATTTCTTTAGACGCTTAACAACTTTATAGAAGTAGGAAATGGTTTTATAAAAGGGAAAATTACACTTAAATAGATTTAGAAACTTTAAATAACCAATGAGTCTATTTTTAAAGTTAATTTTTTAATTTGGTCGAGTTAGGTAAAATAATTACATATGCATTAAAAACTATTATTTAGGTTTAAAATACCCTCTAAATTCTTATTTAAAAATACCAAAATATCCTTCCTAAATCAAATAATTATTTCATTCATAAAATTTAGAAAAACAAGATTTCTAAGTTGACTTTTAACTTGGCATTTTTGCATATGGTGTATATATTACTAAAATAAATAAAATAAAAAACAACCCACACACAAATATATATATATATTAGGAAAAAGCACGTGCGATGCACGGTTGAATGTTTTGTAAATAATGTGATAGAGTTTTATAGAAAATAAAACAGTCAATTTGTGATAGATTTTATAAAAAATTATTTTATTTTCTTTAAATATATTATTGCTTAATTATATTTTCTTTTATTAAAGAAAACTCATAATAAATAGATAAATAGGCAATATGTGTTATAATTTTATAGAAAATATTTTAAAAACTCTTTTTATATCAATTAATAAATATTTTTTTATATTAATAATTCTTGTCTAATTAGATTTCAATAAATAAATAAATAGGTGATTTGTGTTAGAGTTTTATAGAAACTCTTTTAAAAAATCTTTTTATATCAATTAATAAATAATTTTTTATATTAACAATATTTGTCTAATTAGATTTCCTTTTATTAAAAAACTCAAAATAAATAGATAAATAGGTAATTTGTATTAGAGTTTTTATAACAAATCTTAAAATATATCTTTGTCTAATGTATTATAATTTTATTGACGATAAAATAGGTAATTTGTGGTAGAGTTTTTCTAATCTAATTAGATTTTCTTTTATTAAAAAACTTATAA